AGAGGAACGGGGCAGAGAGAGAATGCCTAAGTTATAGGTGGGGGAATAGGTGTGGAAATTAGCAATACCCAGTTTTATAGACAGAATGACTCACAAACCGCGTCGCAAGGTTTACAGTTATCCATCTACAGAGTCTTTAAAACGTGTGATTTTTTTCCTCCAGTTGTGTAAACTACAAACTCTGCTAAATCTGTTTATTTTCTGCAGGCTGTACTATAAATTGTGCATTTTGGCGATAGGACTATTTCTTCATGTTCGTCACAAAGAGTCAGTTGTTGAGTAAAATGGGCTTTGAAACACAGAAATAACGATCAAGAGCTACAGTTTATTAATAGATTTATGTGCTTTCATTCAGCTTAAAAACCCTATACTTCAAGATCAGACAAAATATATTAGCTATGGAAACAAGCCAAAAAAAGTATTTAATTTTTATGAAAGAGAAAAAACTAAAACTAGTGAGTGATTCAGTTGAAAGATGGGACAAAGGGGGAAAATTACTCCAGTTAATTAATGCTGCATGCCTCTTCTTTATGCCCTACAACCAATCATAGAGTCATCGGGCGGGAGAGGTCCTCTAAAGTTCATTAATCCTCCTCCTCAAGGCAGGCTCCACTATACCTGTGGGGTTCCTGCAGATGTTTAATCTGACATCACAGGTCTTTTGGTAGACATTGCACAACCTCCCCAGGTAAGCTGTTGTACCGCTTCACTGTCCTTCTGCATCTGAAAGTTGGTCCTTTCTTCCTAGAATTGAAATCTATTACTTGTTTTCCCATTTGGAAATACGGAGAACACAAATATAAAAGGCTGCTGCAAAGCAAGATGGGGTAATTTGAAAACTGTTACACCCCTCCTCACAACTCTTCCTCAAGCTGGTAATCTCAAATCATACCTACTTTAAGCTCTGTACATAAACGAACCCCATGAGTATAAAAATGTGTATATACATTTTACACACACTTGCTATTTATGCAGGGGAGTATTTTAAATCATATTTCACTATTTTGTGCAGATATTAAAAACCAGCAGTGCGGTACAGTAAATTCTTTCATTGTTTTGTACAAACTGATGGATGCTTTCCATTTCAGACAATTATACCAGCCACAGGAACACAGCATGCTTCTTGGCTTGGTAATAGCATTTTGGAAAGAACATTACACAAATAGTTTTGGTTCAATATTTGTTCAATGACTAATAGCCTATCTAAGGTAAACGATATTACTTGTGGAGTAAGGAAATACTGAAGTATAGGTGACGCATCAGAGCCAGGTCTTTTCTTTATCTCGCTCGCATTTAACCACTATCTGTAAATTTTTTTATAGGGAGTTTTTAAACTGATTCTTACCACTAAATTCTCATGCATATGAAACAATCAGGTTTCCATGAGGCTACAGCATCTGATCCCTCTTACCTTAGAGTATGAACCTTAAATGTTGAAAAAGATCCCAGCAGCTGCTCAGCTTCTAGGAATGGCAATACTGGACCAAAACTGATTCCTGCAGTATGGAAAATGAAGTACTGTTGACTGAAAAAGATGTAATCAGGCTGATACCTAGGAAATGCCTGCTTTGGTTGCATTATATAGCTAATTGGTTGCAATGATGTTGCATTAATATGCCAGCTTCTACTGAAACTCTCAAATCTTCCCTCAGATTGCTGTTCGGGACATTAACCTGCTTTATCAATCTCAAGAATCTACACATGCTTCCTGCCAGGTCCCTACGTGGGACCTTAGGGCTCTGCTACCTCTCCCCCACCTTGTCAAGGGTTTGGCTGTCTGTGCTGAAAGCCAGCTCTGGTAACAGTAAGGCCAAACAATTGGGGACCAGACTGCTATGAGGAGAGCTGTGTGAGAAAGAGCTCTGAGCAGCCTTGCCAGAGCATCACCCTTAGTCCTCGCCTAAGCTACGTTACAGGTGTGCCCGTACCTGCCAAGTACCTCACGGATCCTGACCTGCTCACTTGACCTTTGGAGCTGCCTTGTTGTTACGGACTTGTCAGTCTGGTCTGTTGGTTGAACCTCACTGCTGTCACCCTACTGCTCTTCTTGTTTGGTAACTGCAGGACTGCACCTCCTGCCAAGGAGGTCACTGTCCCCGCGTGCCTGAGCTCCCAGCCTGCCTTCCCTCATAGAGCTGCCCACTCTTGCTACTCCCCGATACCTCAACAGCAAGGCTTGCAAGGAGCCTTCATCACTATTTCACTGAAAAGCTCTTGGGCTCAAACGTGTGCCAGGCAGCTTGGCACAGCCCACCAACTATAGCTGACCCGTGTTCCAGAGTTGCAGCGCTGGACACCGTGGAAGGCCATGCCTCACTGTTAGCAAAATGCAAAAATCTAACACTTCCCCTGACCGAGGTGAGCAACATATAAAGAACATCACCCTCTTTCAAACATTTAATAGTCAGATCAAGGCTAGGAAATCTGCTTTTCTGGGTCCCACTGATTCTAACCAGCTGCTGGTTCATGGGAAAAAGTAGCATATGATTAAATATTAGTTCAATTAATTTATGAATTTTAAATTATATGCTACCTTTCTGGTTTAGACATGCTGGGTATAGCCACAGCAGGAAAACACCTTTGGCACTGCACACCTGCTTCTGGTTAATTCTCTCTGGTCTTTCAAAATCTGCATCAGTCACTGGTTATCTACTTGTCCCGGTTTTGGCTGGGATAGAGTTAATTTCCTTCCTAGTAGCTGGTACAGTGCTGTGTTTTGGATTTAGGATGAGAACAATGTTGATGACACACCGATGTTTTAGTTGTTGCTAAGCAGTGCTTACACTAAGTCAAGGACTTTTCAGCTTCCCATGCTCCACCGACTGAGAAGGCTGGAGGTGCACAAGAAGCCGGGAGGGGGCACAGCCAGGACAGCTGACCCCAACTGGCCAAAGGGACATTCCATACCATGTGACGTCATGCTCAGTACATAAACCGGGGGGAGTTGGCTGGGGAGCAGAGATCGCTGCTTGGGGACTGACTGGGCATCGGTTGGCCAGTGGTCAGCAGTTGCTCACCACTGTTGTTTTTTCTTTCCCTGTTTTTTGTTGTTGTTGTTTTTCTTTCTCTCTCTCGTTTTACTTTTCATTACAATTTATTATTATGCTATTATTTCAAGTATTAAACTGTTTTTATCTCAACCCACGAGTTTTCTCACTTTT